GAAGATTGGAGAAACTTAATTTTTCGCCCCAAAAAAAAAAACGTAAGGGGTAACACTGTCGTTTTTTTTTCGGGTCGAAATTTTGATTTTCGATATCTCAGCTCTGGAAGGGTCTAGAGCCTCCATTTTTGCACTCGGTCAAAGTCTCGCGGCCCTCTATCAGAATCCAGAGTTTTGAGAAGATTGGAGAAACTTAATTTTTCGCCGAAAATGAAAAAACGTAAGGGGTAACACTGTCGTTTTTTTTTCGGGTCGAAATTTTGAGTTTCGATATCTCAGCTCTGGAAGGTCTAGAGCCTCCATTTTTGCACTCAGGGTCAAAGTCTCGCGGCCCTCTATCATAATCCAGAGTTTTGAGAGATTGGAGAAACTTAATTTTTCGCCCGAAACGAAAAAAACGTAAGGGGTAACACTGTCGTTTTTTTTTCGGGTCGAAATTTTGAGTTTCGATATCTCAGCTCTGGAAGGGTCTAGAGCCTCCATTTTTGCACTCAGGTCAAAGTCTCGCGGCCCTCTCATAATCCAGAGTTTTGAGAAGATTGGAGAAACTTAATTTTTCGCCGAAAACGAAAAAAAAAAAACTAAGGGGTAACACTGTCGTTTTTTTTTTTTCGGGTCGAAATTTTGAGTTTCGATATCTCAGCTCTGGAAGGGTCTAGAGCCTCCATTTTTGCACTCAGGTCAAGTCTCGCGCCCTCTATCAGAATCCAGAGTTTTGAGAAGATTGGAGAAACTTAATTTTTCGCCCGAAACGAAAAAAAACGTAAGGGGTAACACTGTCGTTTTTTTTTTCGGGTCGAAATTTTGAGTTTCGATATCTCAGCTCTGGAAGGGTCTAGAGCCTCCATTTTTGCACTCAGGTCAAAGTCTCATGGCCCTCTATCATAATCCAGAGTTTTGAGAAGATTGGAGAAACTTGATTTTTCGCCCGAAAACGAAAAAAAACGTAAGGGGTAACACTGTCGTTTTTTTTTCTGGTTGAAATTTTGAGTTTCGATATCTCAGCTCTGGAAGGGTCTAGAGCCTCCATTTTTGCGCTTGGGTCAAAGTCTCGCAGCCCTCTATCATAATCCAGAGTTTTGAGAAGATTGGGGAAACTTGATTTTTCGCCCAAAAAAAAAACATAAGGGGTAACACTGTCGTTTTTTTTTTTCTGGTCGAAATTTTGAGTTTCGATATCTCAGCTCTGGAAGGGTCTAAAGCCTCCATTTTTGCACTCAGGTCTAAGTCTCATGGCCCTCTATCAGAATCCAGAGTTTTGAGAAGATTGGGCATACTTAATTTTTCGCCAAAAAAAAAAAAACGTAAGGGGTAACTGTCGTTTTTTTTTTTCGGGTCGAAATTTTGAGTTTCGATATCTCAGCTCTGGAAGGGTCTAGAGCCTCCATTTTTGCACTCAGGTCTAAGTCTCATGGCCTCTATCAGAATCCAGAGTTTTGAGAAGATTGGGAAACTTAATTTTTCGCCCAAAAAAAAAAAACGTAAGGGGTAACACTGTCGTTTTTTTTTTCGGGTCGAAATTTTGAGTTTCGATATCTCAGCTCTGGAAGGGTCTAGAGCCTCCATTTTTGCACTCAGGTAAAGTCTCATGGCCCTCTATCAGAATCCAGAGTTTTGGAAGATTGGAGAAACTTAATTTTTCGCCCAAAAAAAAAAACGTAAGGGGTAACACTGTCGTTTTTTTTTTCGGGTCGAAATTTTTGAGTTTCGATATCTCAGCTCTGGAAGGGTCTAGAGCCTCCATTTTTGCACTCAGGTCTAAGTCTCATGACCCTCTATCAGAATCCAGAGTTTTGAGAAGATTGGAGAAACTTAATTTTTCGCCCGAAAAAAAAAAAAACGTAAGGGGTAACACTGTCGTTTTTTTTTCGGGTCGAAATTTTGAGTTTCGATATCTCAGCTCTGGAAGGGTCTAGAGCCTCCATTTTTGCACTCAGGTCTAAGTCTCATGGCCCTCTATCAGAATCCAGAGTTTTGAGAAGATTGGAGAAACTTAATTTTTCGCCCGAAAACGAAAAAAAACGTAAGGGGTAACACTGTCGTTTTTTTTTTCGGGTCGAAATTTTGAGTTTCGATATCTCAGCTCTGGAAGGGTCTAGAGCCTCCATTTTTGCACTCAGGTCAAGTCTCGCATGCCCTCTATCAGAATCCAGAGTTTTGAGAAGATTGGGAAACTTAATTTTTCGCCCAAAAAAAAAACGTAAGGGGTAACACTGTCGTTTTTTTTTTGGTCGAAATTTTGAGTTTCGATATCTCAGCTCTGGAAGGGTCTAGAGCCTCCATTTTTGCACTCAGGTCTAAGTCTCATGGCCCTCTATCAGAATCCAGAGTTTTGAGAAGATTGGGAAACTTAATTTTTCGCCCCAAAAAAAAAAACGTAAGGGGTAACACTGTCGTTTTTTTTTGGTTCGAAATTTTGAGTTTCGATATCTCAGCTCTGGAAGGGTCTAGAGCCTCCATTTTTGCACTCAGGTCAAAGTCTCATGGCCTCTATCATAATCCAGAGTTTTGAGAAGATTGGAGAAACTTAATTTTTCGCCTGAAAAAAAAAAAACGTAAGGGGTAACACTGTCGTTTTTTTTTTCGGGTCGAAATTTTGAGTTTCGATATCTCAGCTCTGGAAGGGTCTAGAGCCTCCATTTTTGCACTCAGGTCAAAGTCTCGTGGCCCTCTATCATAATCCAGAGTTTTGAGAAGATTGGAGAAACTTAATTTTTCGCCGAAAACGGAAAAAAAACGTAAGGGGTAACACTGTCGTTTTTTTTTTCGGGTCGAAATTTTGAATTTCGATATCTCAGCTCTGGAAGGGTCTAGAGCCTCCATTTTTGCACTCAGGTCAAAGTCTCATGGCCCTCTATCATAATCCAGAGTTTTGAGAAGATTGGAGAAACTTAATTTTTCGCCCAAAAAAAAAAAACGTAAGGGGTAACACTGTCGTTTTTTTTTCGGGTCGAAATTTTGAGTTTCGATATCTCAGCTCTGGAAGGGTCTAGAGCCTCCATTTTTGCACTCAGGTCATAGTCTCATGGCCCTCTATCAGAATCCAGAGTTTTGAGAAGATTGGAGAAACTTAATTTTTTCGCCCAAAAAAAAAAAACGTAAGGGGTAACACTGTCGTTTTTTTTTCGGTCGAAATTTTGAGTTTCGATATCTCAGCTCTGGAAGGGTCTAGAGCCTCCATTTTTGCACTCAGGTCAAAGTCTCATGGCCCTCTATCAGAATCCAGAGTTTTGAGAAGATTGGAGAAACTTAATTTTTCGCCCGAAAAAAAAAAAAACGTAAGGGGTAACACTGTCGTTTTTTTTTTCGGGTCGAAATTTTGAGTTTCGATATCTCAGCTCTGGAAGGGTCTAGAGCCTCCATTTTTGCACTCAGGTCAAAGTCTCGCGCCCTCTATCAGAATCCAGAGTTTTGAGAAGATTGGAGAAACTTAATTTTTCGCCAAAAAAAAAACGTAAGGGGTAACACTGTCGTTTTTTTTTTCGGGTCGAAATTTTGAGTTTCGATATCTCAGCTCTGGAAGGGTCTAGCCTCCATTTTTGCACTCAGGTCTAAGTCTCATGGCCCTCTATCAGAATCCAGAGTTTTGAGAAGATTGGGAAACTTAATTTTTCGCCCAAAAAAAAAAACGTAAGGGGTAACACTGTCGTTTTTTTTCTGGTCGAAATTTTGAGTTTCGATATCTCAGCTCTGGAAGGGTCTAGAGCCTCCATTTTTGCACTCAGGTCAAAGTCTCATGGCCCTCTATCAGATCCAGAGTTTTGAGAAGATTGGAGAAACTTAATTTTTCGCCCAAAAAAAAAAAACGTAAGGGGTAACACTGTCGTTTTTTTTCGGGTCGAAATTTTGAGTTTCGATATCTCAGCTCTGGAAGGGTCTAGAGCCTCCATTTTTGCACTCAGGTCAAAGTCTCATGGCCCTCTATCATAATCCAGAGTTTTGAGAAGATTGGAGAAACTTAATTTTTCGCCCAAAAAAAAAAAAGTAAGGGGTAACACTGTCGTT